ACAAGTGGCGGAAACAAATCACTCCAACTCCCAACGAATGCAATATAATGGAAAACAACAAGAGTTGGGTGATGCAGGTTCTGACATGTGGTTGTTAAGTGAGGACTACTTTACACTTGAAATTGCTCATCTTCAAGGATTGTATATGAAAAGAATGGTCTGGATCCATGGCAGTTGGGTTCAGACCTGAACGTGGGTGGAAACAGCATTAATTGCCTGGGTGCACGACCTCCACTGCAACCTTAAAGAAATGCGGCCTTCTTGGTCCTATTAGATTTCTCAGCAGCTTTTTACCCCACTGACAACAGTCTCTTACTGGACTGGGGGAGGGGTCAGCTGTGGTTCCACCCCTATCCAACTGATAATGGTAGGGAGATGCAACTGAACCAGTGAATACCTGAGCATGGGGTGCCACAGGGTTCTGGGCTCTCTGCACTACTTTTTAACATTTATAAGAAGCTACTGGGAACATCATTCCTCAGGATTTGGGAAAAGAGGACATGTTTTGTCTCCCATTCTGGGAAAGCATGCAGGCATTACAGTCTAGGGGGCGGGGTGAGAAGCCAGATCTGCATTGCCCAGAGGGCAGCCTGGGAAAATAGGCAGAGTGGTTTGAACCTGTATCTATATTAGGACAGCTTCCCTAAGAATTGTTGTTCAGCTGTCTATTTTGGGCATTAACCTGCTTGCAGAAGCTTCATCCTTAGATGGCTTTGGATTCCTGCAGCTGCATTCCTGACCTAGAGGACTGGACAAAGGGGTGTCTGCTCCACCAGATGGCTTTCCGCCAGCCAGCTGCTCGAGGTGGAGGACCTGCTTGCCCCTATCACTGCTCTGAGCTGCTCTGGTGGACCCAGTTGCCTGCCACCCAGCACAAGGAGGGGAAGTGCTAGAGGCTAATGAGATTTGCCCTGTTTTGCTGCAGGGGGTCGCTTAGGTCCTGATCATCTTTCTCTCTCTAGGGAAGTGTTTCTCAGCCTTGGCAACTTGAAGCTGTATGGACTTCAACTCTCAGAAATCCCCAGCAAGCATGCTGGGTGGGGAATTCTGGGAGGTGAAGACACACAACTTCAAGTCGCCAAGATTGAGAAACAGTGATCTAGGGCACTGAATAGCCCTTCTTTGAGCCTCTTCTGCTTCAAAAGGTTTACTTAGGAAAATGAAGGGAAGCACAGATATCCCCTTTGTTAATCTTTGGAAACATCTCTTCCTGGTAGAAGGAATTGCAAACTTGATAAGGAGAAAATAGCACTGACCTCTGCAGAAATGCTGTGTGTTTGTTTCCACTGACTTGGAAAAATTTCTGCCTTGCCAAAAGCCTTCACCTCATCAAAAGGTCAGCATCACACAACAGGAAGAAATGCAGAATCCTGCTGGATTCCAAAAAAACAATTTCGTAGAAAAGCAAGATCCGAACCAAATAAATTTACAAAACTATCAGCCCAAATCTTTGTGAAGCAGTAGCCTCTTCATCAGAGAATTATAAAATAACGCAATTGTAACAATACTGTTTTACTGACTGGATATTGATTCTGGGCAGCTTAGTGTTTAAAAGACACTGTTACATCATTTAAAGACACATGACTGCCTGGCAAAACCACATAAATAAACCAATTTTTATGGTCTTGTGACCTGCCATGTGGTTTAATCACAGGACCAGGGCTAAGCGAGCCCCGTCCCACCCCACCCCACCCCCTGAGACATTGGACCAGCCAGTTCAGGAAACCCAGAGCCGGCTCAGAAATTGTGCTCCCTCTACTCTTAAACAGTTCCTCATCAAGCTGGAGAGAGGCTTTGAGGAAGGATCCTCCTCCTGGCTCCTCCAATATTTTTATTAAAAATTTGGATGAAAAGGGGCGGGCAGGCTTCCAAGTAGGAAGCTAATATCCTAGGAGACAACCATAACATTCCAAGTGTCTCATAAATTGGGGAAATGGAGTGAAAATAGAATTACTGTTTTCCCATCCTGGCTCCTTCCAGAAGTTAACCAGGCCCTTTGGTGAAGGCTTTTTGGAAGGCAGTGAAGACCTTTGGGGACTGACTGCCAGCTGGGGCCAGAAGAGGGACCGGAAAGACAACCAGATCTCCTGCCTCCAATGCCAAATATGAGAGCAGCTGCAGGGAGTCTTCTTCCGCCCCTCCTGGTCAGAAAGTGTCTTCCCCATAGCCCTGGAACTACAAACCAGATCAGACTCAGCCCGCCAGCCCAAGGAAGACTCTGGTGCTGGCCCAGGTCTCCCTGCTTCCCTCCAGCGGGGCAGACGGGGTTGTGTCTTCTCTCCCTCAGATAAGCCTGACGAGGTCTCACCTCTTGAACTGTCGGTGGCCTTCCAGCTCCATCAGACTATCCTGGGACATAATTTTCCCAAGACGACTACATAAACTACTCCCCACATATTAACCACTTCCAAACACAACAAAAGTTGGTTTGATTACAACAGTCCACTTACTAATGGCTTCACCAGAAGATAGCAGCAAGGAAAAAGCCATGGGTTGCTCTCCCTTTCAGCCTGCCTTACTGGAGGAGTCAAACGTAATTATTGGGGCAGGACCTACTGTACATTTTAAAAATAAGCGTTGTACGTTTGCTGTAAGCATGTAGAGGCAGATAAGTGAAGCAGCATAAAGCCATCTGTGATAAAAGAAACAGACAAAACTGTCTACCAAACAGCAATCAGACTGAAGACCAAAAATTGGTGGGATTGATTTTAGGGATGAAAACATGGACAGAAATTTTGTAAATCCAGGGAAACCATCAGGACTGTGTCTCAAGCAGGCCCCTGCCTGCCTCCCCCCAGCACAGCGCTAGGGCAGGCTGGGCCAGCAGCCTTTCCCTCCATCACCTGCCATGGCAGCAGCATCACTCTCTGAGCACCAGGTGCTGGACTGGCCATGCCCAAGTGCCCCTTCAGCCACAGGTGTGCCAGAGGTGACTTCAGGCTCCCCCCCCCCCGAGCCCTCCTACCTCTTGCTGTGCAAGAGTGGAAGTAAGAATGCTATACACGTTGCCTTGAGTTCACAAAGGAAAGGCAGAATATCACCCTTAAAGCATAAATAAGTAATTCATTCTGTGCACAAAGGAATTCCGGGTACCATGCCTCTGATAAATCAGACTGAATTGTAGGTGAGGTGATGGGAACAGACTGGCATTTTAGAACTTGATTTCGTAAGGCTTTCATCTTGCTGATAATCCATTTCATATTAAAATTGTTTTAGGTAGGTTCAATATTAGTTTTAGATTAACAATAACGTTCATATAGTTTTTCTTCTTCCTATTATAAAATACACAATCAGGAAAGCTAGCATCAAAAATTTTACCTTAAAGTTAACAGTTTCTTAGCAATAAAAAGTTCTTCAAGATAGTAATATTCACCAGTAGACAGGCTTTCCTAAATATTCTTCCAATCAAAGATTTCAAACCCTAATCATATAAAAAGAAACCTGACTGAAACTCATAGCCATAGCATGATCTGGCTAGAAACTGGGTGGCTATGAGCTCTGGTCCTGCCTCAGGCACGAAGCCAGCCGGTGACCATGGGCCAGTCCCTTTCTCTCAGCCGCAGAAGAAGACAAGGGCAAACCACTTCTGAAAAGCTTTGCTAAGAAAACTGCAGGTAGTGGCCAGGAGTCAACACTGACTCAAAGGGACCAAAATAAAAAAAAAGTTGTTAGCATACTCCATTACTGGCAAGAAGTCGAAAATAAATTTGACCTTCAGCAACAACCATATTTTGTGCTGGCTCTGAAAATCACAATTTTTATTTAATTCTGCCTCCCAATTGTGAAGTTTTAGGGATTTTCAATTGCTCTTCACCTGGTTAGAAATTAATATCCAAGTTAGTAAATTCTCATGAAACACCTTGGCAATTGTCCTGTGATTAACCTGCATTTTCAATTAACACCTGGAAGAGAGGCTACTTAGACAAGCTAGCCCTTCCTAATTACTCTTCCGAACTGTGAGATAACAAACTTCCAGCTCTAACCCCAATCAGATAATTATTTTCCTCTTTTGTCATAGCAGGTGCCTGCTAGACACTTAATCCTCATTAATACATTACCTACCTTTGCTGGTGCCTAAAGTAAGCAACTCCAGGGGTGGGAGGGAAGGAGGAGGTTGAAGGGATTTATTTATTTATCAATCAATCAATCAAATTTGTCACCACCCATCTCGTGAAACAACTCTGGGCAGTTTACAACAAGATAAAAATTCATTAAAATACAACATAAAAACAATCCTAA